TCCTTGTCGGCCGTAATCATATACTTGCATGCTTCTTCTATTGGTGAATAACGTTGTCTCTTCACCGTTGGTTGATCGGCTAAGCATGGATTTATCTAGATCCTCCTCATTGATTAGCAAATTCTCTAGATCGGCTAAAGTTGGCTCGGTAGCCCATCCCCGAGTCGCCGTGATAATACTCTTGTATTCTGGCTTAAGACCATGAATGATAATTCTTTTCATTCTGGTCTGTGTAATTCCATTTTCAGGATCTAGCTTAGAAATCTCATCACAAAGAGATTTCACCTTTGAAAAATATTGACTCACGRACATATTCTTCTGGGAGATTGACAAAAGCTCGTTTTCAAGCCTTTGTAATTTTGCGTCATTCTTGTTTGCAAAAATTGACGTCAATATGTCCCAAGCTTCCTTTGGCGTTCGGGCATCTTTGATCCGTTGTAAGAAGTCTTCTTCTACAGCTATGGTTAAAGCGTACATGGCTTTACCTGCTTTAACCTTCCACTTCTTTAAGGTGTCAGAATCACCTACTAGTCTTTGCGGTACAACGTCTGGACGTACCGGTGTTGAGGTTGAGGTGTCAGAAGTTGTGTCTGTGCTTCTTGCTTCTCTTGGTGGCGTCGTCTCAGCTCCGTTCATGATATCCCATAAATCTTGCCCGAGCAAATAAAACTTCATACGAGTACTCCATGACCCATAATTGTTGTTATTGAGCTTCTCAATAAAGGTAGTAAAATCCGCTATGATTTTAACAAAGCCTCCAAATAACAACCAAATATATGAGTTGGTCGGATCGACTATACCAAATGTTGAAAAACAAACAAAACACTCTTATATTTATTTGTAAATCACTCACGATACAAAGTTTATAACTTAAGAAAGACAATCAAATCTCACACCACTCATTATTTTTATAAAACCTCACAAAACTCTTTGTTGYTTGAGATTGCAACTTCTCTCTTGTACTCTCTTATATTTTTATTCTATGGGATGATTTTTTGGGATGATTACAAACAATGAGAAGCTCACATGTTTATAGGGTGTTTGAGGAGGAGGTTGGTTAAGTGTGAATAAGTGAGCCAAATTTGTTGACAACAAAACCAACCTCCATTTTTGACTTGTGTACCTCCTTCACCAACATTCTTTCACCAACCTCCATGGTAAAACAATCTAGAAGCACATGTGAAAGTGATGATGAATTACTTTCAACAAGCCTTAC